ATTAAGGCTGAGCTACTAGTACAATACAGAAACTTGTCTTGCAATTCTGTAAGTGCATTTAGTTTTGGAGATACGGATTATTGTATCATGAACTTCACAGAATTCCTTATTCAGTAAACTCAATGCAGAAAAGCATTCCATGTGGATTTTCGACTTGTGTACATGCATGTTGTGTTTGAAGGTATCTTATCTTGCTACTTGTTAGTTCTGGGTTCTACTAGCGCAAGATTATGGATTTTCACTCCTCGAGTACCTATTTGTTTGGTGCTCCTTGGTATTCTGTATTTTTTTCAACTTTGTATAGGATATATTACTAGATCTTTCATTTGGCATCTGCCTCAACGGACTTGAATAAGTTATGTAGTGACCTAAGGTTGACATGCAGCGACCTACCTAAGACATCGATGACTAGTTGAACTATAAGTTCTAAAGCTCAACAGAACTCACAATAAAGACAACTTGAACTTGTTTATCTTGAAAATATAAGTTCCAGATTACAGTCACATGAATAACTGAATTATCTAAAGAGAATAACTAAACCAAAATGTTTTATCACTTCAAGAAAAATTTTCGTACGAAACGGTCATCTGGCCAAAAGTTTTGAAAAAAAAATTATTTTTACAATATTACGACAATTCTGTGTATGTGAAACGGAACGGGTTCAATGAGATCCATGTTCCTGCTAATTGATACGTCCATTAAATCTATGAGATTAACCGAATACTCGGTTCGGTTGCGTGTATCTCAGTTCGGTAATGGTATTCCTTGGAATGAGGGTCGCCTCTTATCCAACAGGTTTGTCCCTCAATATCTACTAGATTCTTTATTCAGAAGAACCTTTTGCAAGAATACCAGATAGAAAAAGGTGGGAGATACGACCCCTGCTTTTGTTATGCAAGGACTTCAGCTACATAGTTGTTAAACCTGTTTTATCCTACTAAAGAGTATCGGAGACGTGCTGTTTGGTAATAGTTTCCTTTGAATGATCACTCATCGATGATCCCACTACCTTAGTAGTGCTGTGTTCTAAATATTTGTTTGTAGTGATGGTAAAGAACAACATTCTGTTAATTTTCTCATATCAAAACACTGACTTCAGTTGCTCTGACTGTTCTGGGTGTTTCTTGATACTACAAGTTATTTCCCGATTCTCTAATTGGATGTGTATGTGGTCTGCCTATGACCCCGGTGAAGGAACGGTTATGTTGTTTTAACATTTATTTACAAATCACGGCTTCCTAGTTGAGGTTTTGGAACTCAGTCTTTACAATTCTGTATTCCTGTATATTTGGTGAAGATATTGTGATGAAATAAAAATGTTTCCTGATTACTCTCCAACTCAATCTGTATATTTTGGTCAGTTGAGTTTTCCTCTTCTGTTTCATCACAACATTTTTTATTTTGCTTTTTGTGATGAATTCTTCATTATTTTGTTGGAAAATGTTCGTGTCATAAATAAGATTAATGGGGACTTATCACACTTCGCTGTCATGACAAAAATCAGAGGAATTGAAAATGAATAGTATTGTAAGACTAAGGAATAAGACCAAACTAAGATTTCATAACTCCCTTATGACGATGTAATAAAAATCCATTCATTCGACCAAATACAACTGATTTTGAGCTAGTAACTACTTGTCTTATCAGCCTGCCTGGTATTGCAACACCTCAAGTGATATGCACCAGTTTGTATGATTAATCCATATCACTACCATAAACGAATCCAACCACCATTACGAGATATCACTTTTTACTATGGCTAGTTATCTATTCACATACTGCACTCATTAACTATGGCTTCTCGACATCTTGGTAATATCAATAGTCTTCAGTGATATAGAGCTGTATACGTGGGACAATTAGTGTTTAAGGAGTTCGAATTTCTTACATTACATCAACTTTACTTGATCGCATTAAACTTTCTTGGCTACTCAAGTTCCCATGTCCACTTTTAAAGAAACAGTGACTATTGTTCATATGGAAATAATTTAAAGAAATTCTTTGGATAAATTACCTTAAATTATCCTAGTGTAATACAATTCGATTTCCAATAGAGTAAATGGTTAAAAAATGACCAAGTTTGTCGTTAAACTACAACCAGTTCAAACCTATTAATGTTATTGCTGAATTACTGTGTTAGCTGTATGAACGTTTACATATTTTTGCTCATTGTTTTTCTTTGTACTATTTAGTACTCCAGTGAATCAAATCAGTGCTTGACTGGTTACAAAAATTTTCAATTAATATTGTATTCTGCTTATGCAGTTTTAAATCATAGTTCTTGTGAACAAAGCGTATTCTGATTAAAAATTGATTATAATCTATTTCTAGACTAGATATTTTCTGTCGAATATTTCTATGAGCTTAAGTGCTAAGCTCTGAAGCCACTCACATTTCCTCAATCACAACTTCCTTTTTTTGTACTGTGTTTATTCCTATTTCTAATGACTCAGAAGTTAGCTTTTGAATAATTTTGATTTCTGCATCATGCTTAACAATTGTCGCTAAATTGTTAAACGCTGACTACTTGTTAAACCTAAATTTAATAATACCATTCAACCTGATATTTTTGTTCGCTATTATTGAACATCTTTATTTGTGTATGTGTGTAATTCTTGTAAGCATTGCTTATACATTAAATAAATGAGATAAATACAAATGCAGTTTTTCTATTCTTACAGTTATTTATTAGCAACTAGGATCATTATTACTATGTAGTTTTTGTAATCGATCTTCAAGAATCGTTTGGAAAACAAAATAACCTCTTGATGGCATATTCAGTTATGACTTTTATCAGTTTCTTGTTACTATATGACTTTTTCCCATATGTTTATTGAAATTTCTAGTGCATCTCAATGCTAAATAATAATAATAATGATAATAATTTTTTACTACGTCCACATTTCTACAGATTTTACTGTGAAACATTGGTAATAAATTTATAGCCAAATAACTCATTAACCTAATGATTTTGTTTATTAGAACTATTCTTTTTAATCCGTGTTCTGATAAGGAAAATGTCTAATATTGCAATTGTATAGCTTATTTTTAAAAAATTGTGTTCTCCATGTAGAAATGCTTTCTTTTCTTAATAAACCTTGAAATCACATAGATCTTAGTTATCCTAAAATAAAACAACTTGTCTGTCACGTAATAGATATAAAATATCTAATTTTTGACAACTGGTTAGTCAGTCATAATGCAGAGCTTGACACCGTGAGTCAGTCCAGGTTGACATACTACAGCACGAAACAAAATAAACCGCAAATTATTAGGAATAATCTCATGTGCAATAATAATAAGAAAAGCTGAACCTTGTGAATATGGCTCGAGATCTAAAGGAATGTATGGTGCATGCGTCACTGTAACCACACGGCGGTTTCGATAATCAGGTGAAATTTTTCAGAATTTCACTGCAAATAAACTTCTGTACGTTGTCTCGTTAGCAACATCCCACTTATCCTTGGATTAACTAACATAAAGTTTACTCACTTTCTGAAATTTTAATTTTTCAAGAGTCCTTAATTCAATAGTTGTCTTAACCTTTTGGATGCTGTATCGACTTGAACTTCCAAATAAATGACAGAAAGCATGTTTTGTTTCATTAAGTTAATTCAGTGTTAGAGTTTCTCAAAAATATTATTCTTTGGAACAAGTAAACGACAAAAGCTACTATAGTGAACCTATTATTTGCGTCAATTTCAAATGTTCGTGTATTTGTATGTGGATTTATGTGCACGCATTTATAAATCAGAAAAATTTAACTGAACCAAGATTTAATCCAGTGCACTATATATTTTGATTATAACATGTGACTAGGGTTGAACGTTATTTTAAAGGTGACTTTGTAATGACTTTCTTCGTTAGTTTTCATCTTACCTGAAGAGGTGTCAACTGGTTGGTGTGCGTCAATTTTGGCAGCCCTAATTTTCAGCTAGAACACTTCATCACATCCCTAAAGATATTTGTTTTAACTGGTTGAGAGCACCAATGAGAGGATTTTCCGATAGGTCTCGACTGGCAAGCATCAAATACAGCTCATTATTTACTTGCTTTGAACTTCATTGTAGTGATCTGATGCTAATAATCTGTAAAAGGGTAAAGCTTCGTAAAATATTGAGGTTTTGAAAATTCTAATAGCTTTGCGTTTTGTAGTTGTATATCCTTTTTAACATGACATGGCCTGTGTTTGTTACTCGATAACAGGAATTTTCTTTTGATCATATAGTAATTTGTTACTTGTAAGCCACTTTAAAGACAGATTTTAAATTCCATCGTACAGTATATTCAGGCTAATAAAGCTAGTAGACAATGCATCAAGGTAACAATTGTCAAGATTTTAAGTTCCAGGAAACATCTCAAAGGCTATGAAAACGTTTTGCCTCCATTTTGGAGGGGATATTTTTTCATATCTGCTGGGATGGAAGTATATATCATAAACCTGTTTCGAGTGATCCATACAATATATTTCCTCATAAGTTTGTGCGTTGGGAAATGGCATTGAACAGAGGTATAAATAAATCAGAAGTTCTTACTACTTGGCTGCTTGAAGTACCATGTATACATTTCGTCAGGTGACTAGTACTAAAGTGTTAAATTTCAGCAATAAATTGGTTTTGGTCACATCCATATTTCTGATGTGTTAGTAATTTAACTGGATTTTCAACATAGTGAATGCCAGTAGCCAACGTAATTCTTCTGATAATTGTTTTTCTTTTCCCTTGTTTTATATCGTTTCTTAGCTCCCTTCAGTGCCTCGTTCGAATGCGTGTGACGTTGATGCTAACAAAAGCCAGACCACTTCAGGCGGCTGTACAATTAGTTCCAATGTTCGCCCCGTTCCATCTTTGGTTAGTGGGTTAACCAAGTCTGTAGATAGTTTATTGGGTCCTGCAAATGCAGTGGCCCGTGCTACTAGTTCAAAAGGCGGGGCTCTTCTACCTACTCCTTATCCTAATCCTTCTCAGGCTAGTGGTAAATCTGTTACCCATAATCGTGGTATGCTACCGTCAGGAATTCATTCACAATCCACCAAGGCTTCTGTAGACAATGGACCATATATTAAAGATGTTCCAAATTATGCAGATGTATTAATTGATTCTTCTGTTAACTTGATACTATCTCGTTTACGCCGGACACAGTGTAATTTTGATAAACTTGTTGCAGCTAATCAATCGGAACTGCAGTCATTTACTTTTACTCAAAACAGGTAGGTTTAAGCGGTGAAAAGCATGTTATTAGTTTAGGCTGATACATAAGATTTAAAACCCCTTGTCCAAAGTCTTACGAAAATTACGGTAGCGTACTTGGTTACTTACTTAGTAGTATTAAAGTGTGTAAAGCTACACAACTGCTGATATTTTGACATTCGTGCTTCACTTAATGTGTCAGCATAATGACTTGGTTAGGTTTTTCATTTAACTTACCTCTATTCATTTTGTTCCCCTTTGATCAACGGGATTTACATAGACTGTTCATCTATGTTGCTTCCGAATTTTGTTACTCGAGTGTTATTGAAATGCTTCTGTATATTAGTAATCTATTTTCGTGCGTAATCGGATGCTACTTTGCTGATACAGAAACTTTTGTTGTATCTGAATATTATGAACTTCTTAGAATTTATGGATACTTATTAGTTATTTCGTAGTTTTTTTCTCTAGAAATTAGTTATTAGTTTGTGATTTGCGACATGCTAACAATTCTTTAACATCAAAATTTCTGTTGCCTTGATATCATTTGTATTGCACTTGCATTTCTTATTTATTTGAACACGTAAATATTGGTAAGAAGAGGCACTGAACACATGCGCCACACAAGTCACTTGATTTGTGTATGGGCTGTGATACTGCCCGGGTGCCCAGACTAAAGGAGGTGGTTTTCTTAGGAGGACACAGTCGGAGCTTTCGGCCTAAATATCTGATCCACAAGGCAGTGGAGCAACATCAGGAGATCCAGTCCCATGGTAGCTGGTGACCAACAAGAGGTTAATACTGTTTCTTCCTTCATGATACTGGAGCCCATGTACACCGTTATTTTGAAATCAGGGTTCTCTATCTCCTCTAGGTGAAGCTTCCGTGTTCACCAACCCGGTTAGACCGCCGGACATTCGTTTTTCGTCCTCTCAATTTCGTAAACAATACCCGGGCCGCGAGAAGGCAGTTTGTAGGACTTCTTTTGCACTGGCTGTATACGCGTGGCCATATGAGAGCATTTCGAGAAGGAGAGCGGACTCTTCTAACCTTCGGTCGTACCTGGGCATTTGGGGGCATGTACCGCAAATAATAGAATATGATGACTTCGCTTGACATTCAGTCTTTATCTTCCTCTCGATCTTGAGCTCCAGCATTACTACGTACAAAACATTCTACTCTGTCTTTTCGAACCACATACCTACTATTTAGTCATTCATTTTATCTATGGTGCCACACTATTTCCACCTTTTTTGTTATTTTTATCTCATGCTAGTCATGCATGAAAACTTGGCCTAACTAATTCACATTTGTGCCAGGCTCTTTGTCGATGATGTCTATCAAAAACCGTTTGTTTCATCTATAGCGGTAACAAATCATTAAAAACCTTTAGTTCATAAGTAGACTGTTAGCAAGTACCTATAATTATTCAGTGCATCTTTTTTTAATTCTAATAGTGAATAGTAATCCTATAGGTATTAACTTTGCAAAAATACATTTCGTCGTCTTATTCTCGCTTATTCAACTTATAGTCAAAATGGAAAAAGAATGATGATGCGTATTCGTGTTCTTGAACATGAAAATGAAGAACTAGCAAATGTCAATCGTACTGGTCGAACTGCTCGGTTAGAATCGGAAATTTCTTTACGACGTGCATTCGTAAATGACTTGAAAAATGCTCATTCAGGTAAGTGTATGTATATATGTGTGGGAGGGGGGAACTTAAGTTTTAGTCACGGTGTGTGACCAATAATAAAGATATGTAGACAAATTGTTCCATTTACTTACTTGTCCCAATCACAATAAATGCATTGAATATGTAAAAAGCGCTTCATGGAACAGTACTTATGTGTATTCATCACAATAACCATTCTCGTTTTCTTGATATCATCGATAATAAGATTAACTCTCAACTTGTCACATTGTCGCTCTTCAGTTTCAATGAAGAATCGTCCAGTTCAAAAGTATTTCATTTCACTATCAAAAACTAGTGAAAAATCAGTAAATATTACTTCGTTCTCATAACTCATTAGTTCATACTCACGTACTCAATTTACGCCTCATTTCATTGTCTACTATAGTAACCTAATTCAGTGTTGCTTTTGCTGTAAGTAAATTGTTAAATATCGCGGAACCTTGAAAACTGCTTACTTAATGACAAATTGCTCAGTATCAAAATCATGTGTTTTTATATTCCTATTAGTATTATCCATTTGTGAACTAACTGGCTTATCGTGATTCACCGGATAATTGCTAGTTTGACAGTGACTATGTAATTAACACACACCATATAAAAACATCTAATCTGAAAAATTGCATAATATATGTTTTCGCATTTGAAAAATGCAAGCTTTGGTTTAGCAATTTACCTGATGTTTTATTTTATATATGAATTCAGTGTAAAATTAAAGTAATTTGGCCACCAATTTAATGTAGATTAGTAAGCTATCAGTTCAGTTAACAATTGCCTGTCACATATATATTCATATAATCGGCTTCCTTCCAGATTATTTGTATGAACGCCAATGGGACTATCTACTATTCAGCTTCCCAAACGAAATTAAGTGTAGCTCGGTTAAAACTCCCAAGTTCTAATGGTTTTATCACTAAGCTACAACTCCATAATATTCAATGTATAGGTCAAAGTTAGTGTTTTATATCGACCTAGTAAAATAAAGCGGCCTGCTTGAATATCTGGGCTACCTGTTTCTGCCATCTGATTATTTCAACAAGTTATCTGTTTTTTTTCATTTGTTTTAACTTATAATTATGTCCATTAATCGCATAACCTATTCAGGCGCTTTTATGAAAAGCCTACGACCTTTCGCTGCACAAGTTACAAAAAAGTACTATAAAAGACGTCGTGGTGGTTGGCAATATGCGTTAAAGAGAATGAACATTATTCGTATGTCGATTCCCAAGCTGCTAAATTCTAACTGCCGATCACGAATCAACGAAGTGGACTATCTGCAATTCCTACTAAGTCAAAATATGTATCGTAATTGTGGTGTCATCACAATTCAAGAATCTTGGTTAAATGATTTACAGGATGACTGCCTAGTATCACTACGTGACTTCAAAATTTATCGTCAGGATCGATCAAACAATAAAAAGAGGTGTGGTGGCGGTGTAGCTACGTTTGTAAACACAAACTGGTGTCGATCTTCGTTTGTGTGTTTTAAGTTTTCAAATGATTGTCTAACTCTAAGATGTCCAAAACATCTGAATAAATACAAATATGTTTATGTTACCAGTATCTACGTTACTCCAGATTGCACATCATCTGCACTATCTGTTTTCGCTGATGAATTCACTGAGTTCGCTGTTACTGCCTTCAGTGATTCACTTTCAGTTGTACGTGGTGATTTCAATTCATTTGACTATAGCTTCCTTAAGTCACTTGGTCACCAAAATGTAGTAGATTTTCCTACCCGTTTGGATGCTCATTTAGACTTCGTCTTCATTAATGATGTGGGTATATATGCGACTCGAAAACGTGCTCCATTGTCTAGCTCGGATCACTGTATAATTCGTGTTCTACCTAAATTATATGGAAAGCATGGGAAGAGTACACTGTCACATCAAACCAAGAAAGTCAAATATAGGAATTACTCAGAAGAAAATATCCGAAATCTGAAAAACATGTCTCATACGACTAACTGGGAATTATTTACAGATGACTCACTGGAAAACACTACTGATGTTATCACTTGTTACCTTAAATTCTGTTTTGATATTTGTTGTCCCACTGAAACCATTTTTGTAAGTTTTGATCAACTTACATTTTCACAACTAAAACGATTAAAGGAGATGAAAGAAAGAATGTACAAGGAGAAGAACTCTAATGAGGTTCGTAAGCTAAATGGTCTGATAAACCTAGAGATTAGACGTCTCAATTCTATGTTTACTCAAAAACTCTTGTCTTGCAAAAACTCTCCAAGTATGTGGAAACTCTTTAAAGAACTTACAGGTGACAGACAGTTTAGAAGCGATAACCAGCTGAATGTTTGACTTAAATAAGTCTTTTGTACGTCAGTCATCTGATGTGATGCTCCCTCTATCCACGGGTTTAAATGATAGCTGTGTTCCTACTTTCACTGAAACTGATGTACGAAGATGTCTCCAGTCACTTAATTCATCTCGATGTTTGGGACTTGATGGTATCCCAAACGTCCTTTTTATAAAGTGTGGTGACGTCCCATGTTATCCGTTCACAGCTATCTTTAACAGATCCTTCTCATCTAATCTCATACCGAAAATGTGGAGAAAGATGAAGATAATTCCTGTACCCAAGAAAGCATCTGGTGATAAGAATGTAAAATTTAGACCTATTGCAATAACTTCACCCTTCCTCAAAACAATGGAAAAATTATTAATACTTCCACTTCAGCCTGCGATAAAAGAGCATATTGATCCATATCAGTTTGCTTACAGACGCAAAAGAAGCACTTTAGATGCTGTTGCTGTTCTGCATCACAACATAGTGTTCAACTTAGAAAAGGGTAAGAAGTATGTTCGATGTACTTTTCTGGACTATACTTCAGCTTTTGACTCTATACCAAGACAACGTTTACTTAACAAGTTAATCAGCGTCAACACTGACAGCTGGATAACCAACTGGCTATGTTCCTACCTCTCTGGAAGGGAACAATACACTGTGTTTGGAGGAAAGAGTTCAGAGTCTCTACTGTCTCATGAAGGTGTACCACAAGGAGCTGTTCTTTCACCTCTTCTATTCTCTTTTTTTCTGCATGACCTGCCATCTTCCACAGAAAACACTTTTGTGAAGTACGCGGATGACCTCACTGTATGTATGCCTATATCTTCCTCTTTACATCCCATAGAAATGAATGAGTTTTTGTCTCGTATTGATTGTTGGTCTGTTGGTAATGGTCTCATACTTAATCCGTCTAAATGTCAAGCTGTTAACTTTAGCATGAGACATGAACGGAATCTAAACACTATTTTGAGATCCCATTGTGCTTGTACCATCGGAGACTCTTTGATAAACTCAGTGTCGAAGGTCAATTATCTTGGTGTCACCTTTTCCTCTGATCTGTCTTGGTCTTCCCACGTTTTATCGTTATCGAAGAAGGTTTTCCGTCTGACCTATTACATAAAGAGATTGCATGCTCTTGGAATTACTCGTCATTTACTCTTACAATTTGTCAATTCTTGCATACTACCTATTATTCTTTACTGTTCTCCATTATTCTTTCCCGGGCTTTTGAGAAAAGACTTTGCTGTATTGCGAAGAGTGCTGAAGGCAGTTAGCAAGATGTGTGGTGAATCTTTCGAGGTCATAATTAATATGGTTGTCGACAGACATCTAATGTCATGCAAACTCCCGGCAGGTGTTATTTTATCAGATACCAGCCATCCCCTTCACTCTTATCTTTCTCCTTGTATATCTTCTGGTAGAACGGGACGCAATTACATTAAAATCCATGTACGCAAGCAAAAGTATAAAAGTTTTATAATACCTTACCTTGCAAATATACTCTGTGACGAACAGGTTGTTAGAGTTAACCTAGTCAATAACCTGCATTCTTATCCTGTCTTTAATTTTAAAAGTTGTACAGTTTTTCGTTGTTTTTTTTAAAAAACCTTTTTATTTTTTTTTTATTTGTTACTGTGTTTTTTTGTTGGTGTTGCGTAAGTAACTTGTTGAAATACCCTGTGCTGAGAATTCTATATTGTACCAAAATATAATATTGAATAAAACGATTAATAATAAAAAATTATTATTGAATAAACCGGCCTATTCATATATATAAACTGCTGATTATTATAAGTTCAAGTGCTATTCAGTAGTGATCTGATTTTCATGGAACTAAGGTCGGGAATGTACATGTCATTTGAAAGTATAAAATAGTAATCCTTATTCATTCAGTGCTAAACAAATTTAAGTCTTATAGCTAGACGGTGTTATTTCCCAAATACTGTATGTCATTGGAATTACTGAACATCTTTCGTTATATTAGTATCTGACAGACAGATCTATGATTGGATTATTTTCAAAATACAATATAAAACCAGTAGTTTCTACTTTTGCATACGTAATCGTAGTTTTTCCATTTTTAATCTTGTAAATCAATGAAATTCCCTGAAAGCATTCTGATTTTCGTCTATAATCTTTATGTTAGCTAACTTTCTTTAGATATCTTTTCATTGAAATTTTATCTTCATGGAGAATTCACTTTTCACTTATTTAATGGACTTTAAAATTTTAGTGTGTGGCTCCTGGTAAAAATATACAAACTAGTGGTTCACCTGCTTCTCTTCCTAAAACAAATAATTTAACACATCTGATCGTCCAAATAAATTAATATCGTAAAATAAATGATAAGAATTTCAAATCAGTTCGTAATTCATTGTCACTCACAGTTCAACGTTTTTTTATGGCAATACAATCAGAGTTTTCTGTTCCAAATCTGTAAGCTCGACGAAAAGTTGACATGTATTTCTTTTCTAAGAACAATTGGTTTTGGACATATTTAAAGTATATTAGCTACAATTTTGTTATGCTGCTCTAAGGAAGGCGTTTCAACTTACCAAGATAACTGTGAAAAGTATTTTAAAGCTCTGTCCCATTTGTAACATTCGTCCTAGTTTGTTGTACCGTAGTCATGAGGAAAGGGACATCTACTGAGACTTTTTTAATATTTGTTTGCGCACTATAACTTTTTAGTTACTTCTTTCTGTTGAGGACTTATCTGACAAGATCAGCTGGATTTTTTTCAAACTTTTAACTTGTAAACTCTATGTAAAGATAGTTTTTTGTTCTTACTTAATTCTTGTAAGCAATGAGTCTGTTTGATACCATGTTTAACAGTTTCTTATCGCTTTTTATTCTTTTAATAATTGTTCTTAATTCGTTTGCATCTGCTAATTGAGTACTCAATAAATGCTTTATTTTTTGTTGTTGAAGATATGGAGTATTTAGTGGAGGAGGCTGAGACTGAAACTGAAATGCTTGGTAGTTCTTTAATGATGCTGCAACAAAGACTACAACTAACTCAAAGCACTGCAGAACTCTTGGCTTCCGAACTACAAAAACTAGAACCAGTGATTTGTGCTGGGATGATGAATTCCGATGGCGATACTGATGCTAAGGACGTGTTGTTACATGAGGAAACAAAATTAGAAGACGTTACTTGTGTGTCTCCTGGACGACTGCAAAATTCTCTAAACGATAGTCTATACGATGAGGAGCTTATTTTGGATCCAGGTATTGAAATTAGCCGACAGTCTTCGGAATCTCCCAAATCCTATACTGATATACCAGTCGATAGCGACGTCAATTCTCGGGTGACAGAAACTAAATATGATAAAAAGTCATGTATTTATGCCCGAGTTCTCCCCAAACCTGAAAATAATATTTCTGATGACGAAAATTTCGGTAAATCGAAACGTAGACGTGTCTCAGGTAGTTGTGGAGATTCATCAAATGAAAAATGCACAAGTCATTTAGACTCTTTATCATTTTTACCTGCTCCATTGTCTAGGAATACAGTATCTACTTCCGCCAGTGATCGAACTAAATCGCGTCCTGTAATCCCTGTACGCGGTCCACAACGGACGTTTCATTCAAACCGTGAGCATACTGCTCAAGTTACTCAAATAAAATCCATTTCATCAACAACAGCATCACCATTAGATGAATCTATTTCTAGTAAACTTTTAAAACTTTCTAAATTTAATAGTCAGTTAACTGTTGATTCCTCCATAAAATCCCCATGTATAAAGTCTTTCACATCTAATCATCCTAATGTTATTGATGGCTCGTCTTCATGAAATCCCTTTCCTATCCATTTATTTGTTCAAAATCTCTTACCTGTCTCTTTCTTTCGTATGTTGGATGTTATTTTTATCGTGTTTGTTTCTTCCTATATGGAGTGGTATATGTGTGTGTGTGTATTCAAATAAAAATTATTCTTGATTGTTTGATTTGCTGATGATGTTTGTCTTGATTTCCGATAGGTGGCTCGCTTGTGTTTGTTCCTAATTTGTTGGGCTTATGTTTCTTTCTTCACGCTCATAGATAAATGTATTCTCGTTCAATCTTTTTTTATAAACGAACTACTGTTTCTTAAATGATATATCGAATAACACTGATAATCAATTAAACCCCACTTGTGTTTCCCTTCTGCGTTTGCACTCTATATATACATATATAAAAGAAATTAAATGTACTTAATATATGCTCCTGTCAATTTTTAAGTAGTGCGCGTATTAATTAAAAAAAAATTATCTTTACAAAATAAACTAGCTATACATTATTTTGAACAAAAAGAAAGACTAGTTAAGTTTTCTCATTCTTTGCTATGATTAGTCTCAAGGTGTTATCAATCCTTTTGATTTAGATACTCAATACATTGAATATTATGTCGGTTTGATTTCATATAGGTGACATTATTGTTGATATTATTCATTATTATTATTATTGCTATATATAATGATGATGATGATCGTGATGTGAATGAAATTAGCGATCAGTTGCATTTATTATCTATCAAAAGAATCACTTGAACATGTATACATATATCTTTCTGTCTGTATTCAGATAGACAAGGTATCTAATTTAATGAGAAAACAGTGAGAATTTTACTATTCACATATTATTAATGTATATATTTGTCAAAACAATATACATTTTAAAAATGCATAATAATATCACGAATTATTAACACAGATATTGATATGTGCAAATCTAAGTCATCTCATTTATTCATTACCAACAGCAGTGCTTTCACCCTCGTACACATGAATAGTGTGGCGTTTATGTATCGAAGCAAGTTACTGTTCATGTGTATTGCAATTTTATCGTTTCAGGTATTCCTTTTTTTTCTAAACTGCCAATTATATGAGTATCTTTTTTACTCTATTTTTCTAATTTGGATATTTTTAGATTTAATTTTGAAAAATTATTTTTATACATAAACCTACTTCATTATTTCTGTTAACGTTCTTTATTGTTGGAAAGTTCTCTTTCTCAGATTTCATACTACCTACCGACCTCTGTGTATGTGAACTGACCGGAAGAAGCTCTCAGTTTGTGATAGGAAGCAATTAACACTGTATAGAAAATTATGTGGTGATAACATTCTCAACGCTGAAACTTAGAATGATAATCAGTTCTGTTATTAGAAACATTTAGGTTTAAGAGGATCAAAGTTGTAAAATTTTCGAAGTAACAGTCACAATTATTCAGAAAAGCACCGAATTTCATACCAAAAGGCTGTCAGTGCATTACATTCGTAATTAATGCTCAATTCATATAGTGTATATACAACCGATTGATTGACATTAAGTTCACAAAACGTAACGGGATTGAATCCGTTTGTTTTTCTGCTGTTTGGATTTACTTTTATTCTGGTTGCCACGGCTTCCAGTATACCGTTTACTTCTGAACCTGTCATGCTTTTATTTCAGCTGTGCATTATGTTATTCATCATTAGGATATGATAAGATCGTAGAGATCATTCTACTTGCTTTTTAAGAAGTTATGGTAATGCTTCTTATAAGCCGTTTTTGTATAAAGCTTTTGTTTACTTCAAAATTGGAAGTCACCTAAGGAATGACTATCTTGAAAAATATATTAAAAAGAAATAACCTTGAGTCACATCAGGATCGGCCACATTTCAATAATATAATTGTGAAACACAATCGATTGTGAGCAAATTACTTTTATTAGTGCCAATTTCGTTTGATACCCACGTAACTATCCTTGTCACTTTGTGTTATACATTCGAGTGATGTTTCTTGGAGAAAGGATCATTCTTCTTAAATATTTGTTTTTTTTCATGGGATTCGTATTTCACACTATTAGAGAATTTTTTCAAAAAAGAAAAAGTATGGAAACTACCAATGCTTGCGTTGAAATTGTTTTAAGACTGGAAAGTTTCATTTAATGAAAAAACAAAACAATGAGAGTCATTATGTTCAGATGAAATTATTTAAGTATAAGTGTGAATTTCTTGGCCTCTATCAAAAAATCAAGATTGTTACAATGTAGTGAATTCAAAGCTTTGTGCGTAAACAGATTTGACTCATACAATTATCTTTATGTAATTAATCTTCGTTTCTAGATGAAATGAAGCTGCATACTGCATTCTTTAATTTTAGATATTAGTTTTAATCCATATTTACAAAATATCATGTATTCTTTATACGTTGGAGATAAACGTTTCGGAATATTTTTAGAAAAAAATCTCCACAAACTCTGAAGTGTGTTTGATAACTTGTAGTAATTACTCATATAATAATCTTTAACTGGATGCTAACCAATTACGAAATTTTTATATTAGGAAGTCTTTCCTGCAGTAATTTTGTTTCTTTTATAACTCAAATCATGTGATCATTACTTATTTGAGTAGATAGAAGTAATCAACTGCTTTTGTTGTTTGTTATTGGTCACTGTGAGGTATTCGTTTAAATGAGTAGTAATAAAGAAAGATAAAACTAATATACAATTAACTGGGAATACATGATTAAAATATATGTTAATAAATTATGATGTGAGTAGAGAAATTAATGAATAGCTTATTTGCAGAAACACCGAATGAACTGTCGTCTTGTTACAGTATGATATTGTAGTCTAAATTGCTTATCTCTGTTTTTACTGCGTAGTCTCATTGTTTATAGTATTTTGATATTTTAAGCTTTTATTTAGTATATCGATAGTCGATGTGTTTTTACTGTTTTGTAACTATCGTTAAATTGTCAACTAAATTATCGCTCTATTTTGTATCACTCAGGATTTAGTTGTGTATAAATTGTGATTTCTCTCGTGGAATTTTGCCATGTTCTCAAAGCTTTTAATCCTACAAGTTTGACTCAGTATTAAAATGTTGGTTTGGTGTGTTCGTCTTCTGACTGGCTATTAGGTATAAACTTTCGCGGTCCTTGCTTATCGTCAGTTGTTTGGTTAGATAGATGTAAGGTAGATTCGTAGCCCATGAACTCTTTGTTTTATGATTTGATTATGTCAACATGTAGAGGACTGAAGGTCGCCACAGTATTGCTTCATAAGGAAGTTGAAGCCTACCATTTACATTGAATGTTCTTTTTAGTCAATACAGAATGACATCAAATTCTCCGTCAGCCTATTCATTTTCGATAGAATTTGGTGTGAGAACACTTCATTAGTCGGCTGACTGCAGGGATATTATGGGAACCCGAAAAAAATATTTGATCGCCTGTACTTTTTATGGGAAATTGTTTGGATTCTAAGTATCCACTGTTTGGATGTTATTTAATTGGTGTGAATATGAAATTGTTTTGGTAAATGCATTTTAAATGATCATTCTAATCATAGAACAGCTTTGTATCTTTATCAGTTATAACAAATAATTTTGGCTGTTGGTAATTTAATTTCAGTATTTTCATCCTATATCTTAATTAGTGTATGTGCTTCATGGACGAACTACGAAAGTTGCTAGTTTTCTGTAGTGTAAACATTTGCTTTACTGTATTTTTATTCCTAGCAGCCACTGAAAAGTTGTGGAAAACACTAGTTTTTGAGTTCATCATTAATTACTAATGCCATGTCATATTGTTTTGAAATAGATGGATCAGTCTATTGTACATATACGTATTTGAGTTTATTGTTCATTCACATCTGTCCAGTAGACTATTATTTGCGATATGCGGTCAGAAGTTTTTAAATAATATCCACTTCAGAGACAACGATAGTTTAGACCAATAATTATGCGATCGGAAGTGATGGTACCTTTAAAAATTTATTAACATGCAAAGCTACGACACTGCAATCAAATATTTTATAATCCTACAAGTAATTACATGGATGGATTTATATTAGGGCAGATTAATCAGTAGCTAAACGAGTGTGGTCCGAGGTGCGATCGGAACATGTTTTCCTATCGTGTATCCATTATCTACAATTATGTACAAAAAGAAATTTGATGAGTTAAATATTAACTGTTTGGAACATATCAGATTCCTCTCGAATTCTTACCTTCTCTCAGTCGTTTAAGGAGATTACTCTTGTGAAGATAAGTTGACGAGCTCTCCAGAACACGTCGCTTCCGTTCATATTAAATATCTTTAGATTTTTCATAATTTGAAATAATCGTAAGCTTATGGATTACAAAATAGAACATCTACAAAGCTGTACAATTTAGAAACCAAGTGTGTGTGAAATAACTCATTGGGCAATATATTTTATTATTATTATTATTACACGTTATGACATGATTATCAAAGAATATAAAGACAAGAAAATCGCATCTCTTTCTGCAAAACAAAAAAAAATAGATTCTGTTATAACTGACAAAGTTGAATCATTTCTTTGTATTCAAATAGAAATATTTGAAATTAATAATTTTAATTTTACACCGATACTTCATTTTCGCATAGTTCTGCTACTTAAATAATTTTCTTCCCAATGAAAAATAATCTTGACTTATATGATTTTCTTGGAGTCGATAATAAGAAACAATCAGTGCATGGTGTGTTTGTTTATGTCGAATCAACTATAAAATAATGATCATTATGCAACAACATTGTCTTTTTTATTAATAAAAGAGAGAGAGAGAGGGGGGGAATAAGTCATAGCAAATACAACTAGCATTAATTTGTAAAATACAAATACGGAAGTTGAATTAAGGGTTTTTTTTCTCTGTTCTTCATTTGCAACTGATGATATTCAAGGTTTTCATCATTTGTCGAACCTGTTCATATACCTGTGAAAAAGAAACATTCTGTAAAGACGCTCTATATTCGTAACAATATTTGTTGAAATACAAAGAAACATTGTATTCTATATTATTGAAAAAACATGTTCGGCGAAAAACAAAACCAATCGCTTAGTTTTTATATCACTTATTGTGTAGTTATGTGTATAAGACCTGTTTGAACATCTGGGCTACCCGTTCTTAACATCTAAATATTTCAAGTTATGTTTTTGTGCGTTTATGAAAATTTCACAACTTTTCGCTGTGCAGGTTACAAAAAAACCCAATCACAGACATCGTGGTTGCTGGCAATATGCAACGAAAATAATGTACAATATTCAGATGTCGATTCCTGAACTGCTAACATCTAATTGGTGGTCACCCAGTATTTATCGTCAGGGTTGATCAAGAATTACTTTGTGCTGAGAATACTGTTGCACCAATAATATAATAACTATTATTAATAATATCCATATATAGAAAGCCGACAAGAACAGGACAATATCTTAGTTTCCAGTCTAATCCAATATAAAGGTGGTTTAATAAAGGGCTTATTCTAACCCATTATCCAGCGTGCATACAATCACTGCTAGTGAAGTCCTACTCACCACCTTCTCGCGGCGAGGGTGCTTACGAAATTGAGAGGACGAAAAGCGGATGTCCGGCGCTTTACCCGAGTCGGTGGATACGTAGAGTCCATCTAGGGGAGTTGGGAAACCCTGATTCCAAACCAATGGTGCACATGGGCCCCAGTATCCTGAAGGAGCAAATGGCGTATGAACCCATTGTTAGCCACCGGCTACCATGGGACTGCATCTCCTGAAGTTGCTCTACTACCTTGTGGATCAGATCTTTAGGCCGAAGACTCCGGGTGTGGCCTCTTAAGATAACCACCTGCTTTAGTTTGGGCACCCGGGCAGTATCACAGCTCACACACAATTCGAATGATTTATGTGGCGCATATCTATTCGGTGCCTTCTTGTACCAACGTTTATGTATTTAAATAAATAAATTATCCAGCATGGTTTTCACATTGTGTACTCTATTATTATCTTTGGACACCCTTACCTTTTAATAGTTCATATACGAAATAAGTATTACTTGGGGTACAGAATTACCATCCGGATTCTGATTGATGAATCTTGTCGAATGTTATCAATTTAACCATAATCGTAACACGATTCATTTGATTAAATAACTGAAGCGTACTTCACTCTCAATTTATGAATAAAACATGCTGGCGTGTTCATTCCAATTATTTTTTATACCCATAATAATAATTGAGTTGATTAGAGTTTCTCAAAGAGATTTAGGTCTTAAGCTTTATTAAAATTATAAAATTATTTAAATAAATCTTAGTAATCGAATGTTTGAAGTACACGATGTTATACGGAAATCTTTCCGCTTCTGTATTATTCGTAAATTTCACCAGTTAATTATGGGTGGACAGGAAATTCCAGTTAATCGTGATCAACACAGATCTTGATATAAATGTATTAGGTCAATTCACTGTACCACACATCAGCACAAAAATGTTAACAGGACGAATAATAAACAAGTAGCAGTATCAATAATAGTGAGAATGATTAAACATTATAGAATGCAGTTCGAAAAGAAGGAATGGATTTGAAGAATTAAAAGATTTCAAATAATAAAGAATCTTAATATTTAGGAGGGATAAAGAGTGGATAGGTCCGAGGCATTTTAACCGATTTTGAACCATGTTGCCTAATATCTACAGCCACTGAGTGTGCCTAACCAGGTAGTCTACACCAGCAAACACTACCCAGATTAACAGTTGATGATCATTCTTATAGGATGATACTATATCTCCGTTTAATTATACCTAGTTCTATTCCAGACAATATTGCCCATCAAGGCAAGGATTTTTGGTTACATGTTCCAGTCACCTCAACCGATAAAGACACGAACTTGTCGATCGATTTACCTAGCATTTGTACACTAAAGCTCAGTTACGTTATCAATTTTCCGTCGTAGCAGAGGTCTACAAAGTACACTCACTGAATATTTAGACTTCACAACTAAATACATTACTATAATTCGTGGATTGGTTGGTGTTAGACATTAACAACATTGGATGCCAGCTCAGTGGTCCAGTAGGTTAAGCGTTCGCGCGCGAGACTGGATGCGCACTGCTGAGAAGTCCCACAAAAGGACGAAACGGCCGTCCAGTGCTTCCAGGTTTTCAAAGGTGGTCTAACATCAATCGATTCATGATCTCAATCAAAAACTTTACAATCTCCACAACCCCTAAACTTATAATTTATATAATCGAATAATTATGCTTTTTGTGATATCCCAATGAGTATAAAATTGTATTCCTTATGTTTCGTGACTTGATCAATTGTGACTACATCTCAGTCCTACAGGAGGTCGGTCGCAGCCCGGATAGCTCAGTGGTAAAGTCTCTGACTGTGAAGCTGGGTGACACGGGATCGAATCCGTCAGGAGCACCGGTGCCCTCAAGATTACAGGTACACCTTGCTGACGAGTGCCAAGTAGCATGAAACCCTGGGTCCAGGGTTTCCTGTCGACTACCTCAAACCATCTAGTCTCAACTTAGCGCATGCAGTGTCGAGTCAACTAGACTGGCGGCCACATTGCAACTTAGTCGATAGCATTCGATCTGCACTAAGAAGGAATTGACACACATGACACTGATCACCACCCAGTGATCAATCAATTGTGATCATAAAAGGTCTGAACATGTCAATGTCACGTTAGTTCTGGTCAAGGTCATTTTGTATGAGACAACTATGTCTATTTGTATGTGTGATGATGGGTATGAAAAATATGTAATTTGTAATATGAAGTAGTGTCGTTGGAATTGTATGTGTGCAGTTTGTACGGAAAATAAATGAGGTCGAATGTAGTTGTTTGGATAATCTATCCAGGTTGGATGAACACTCGGGCCATTATGGTAGAGGGATGCACTATTATATGAAACGGTTCGGCCAGTTACCTCTGTTCACTTACCATAAGAAATATTCTGAGGATGTGATCTGTCGATAAATTTGACAATTACAATGAGATTAACAGACTAGAATACAAAATTTCCGAAATTTTTCTCCCATCAAATGATTGCGTGTAGTCGACCATATAATAAACTTGACGCTAATCTCGGAGAATATGTAATTTGACTCGGTTTAGAATACTCGAAGTAACAGAATATTTGGGCCTCAATATGTACAACAAAATAATATGATTGAACGCTTAATATAACTACACATTCACTAATTTGTTAACACAAAATAGTCAGAAAATCGTATGATAAAATATTACCTCAGGTATAGACTTATTTGCATTAATTCTGGTCACCAAATTCTGTGCTTCATAGAATTGAATAATCGGCATACATTGTTCTTTGAATTGTTTTATACTGGAATGGTCATCAATCATTGGAATAAAAAAACACATTAAGTTATAATTTATTAACATCCATGAAACGACTAGTAGGGAATGAAAAAGTCGTTTAGTTGAAAGAAACTATGGTTCAAGGGTAAATCATACTATACTGGATTGAGACGGCCTCAAGGTGTTTCCCACAAGCAATCAGCATTTGCAGCAATTTTGTCTCACTACAACGGAAAGAGGTTAGAAAACTAAGCCTTGAAAATGGCGCACATCACTTTGCCCTATGGATTCTCGTCGCCAATGATGAGGGTTAATGAATTATTCAGTTAACACAAATCATGAACAACTCACAAAACGGTTGTATGTAAAGGGACTTAGGCAGTTTTTCCTTGAGTCACTTCCAGTAAGTTTTACAGTCGGCTACCTGAAACCACGTAACATCATAACAGAATATGCCTATCATGAGAGAATTACCGATGCTTTAATGTTTCTTCATTATCGTCCACTCGATTTGACTTTCGTCCAAGGCAACGTTGGATACATACCTGAAGAAACAAATTAGTTAATTAAATATTACATTTTGCATATATATATATATATATATATATATATATATATATATAAACTAGTTTCACTCATGTAATAATAGTCGAAATTCTAAAAAATACTAGATTATTGGTGCCTTCTGAATTTCGCAAATCAAGTTAATCATAATTGTATCATTTTGAATTGGGTGATATAGGAATAGGTTGGAAAAGTGTTGTAATTGTTCAAGCGAAGACAATGCAACAGACTAAGAAGTTATTAATAATTTGACTAAACCAAGTAGGTAATTATGAAATATCACTTAGGGATTCCTAGATAATTGTAATCTGTGCTTAGAAACGTTGAGTAATATGATCCGAAATCGATCTATTTGGGTTATTCCTTACCTTTCTTTTGGGCTAAAGAGCTTTGCTTCAATCCATACTTTTCATTCCCCAGTTTCATTGGCCAATTATACTTCTAATATTTAACAATCAACTAAGGTAGATGATTTATATCTACTGCTCATCTTGACAGATTCCTTGATCGCTATCATAGACAGTACATTTCTCATCTTTTATCGTCAAATACTTTTTACTCAAGTTCAAAAGGAATGAAATTCCCCACTTTATCTTAACATGTGAATATTCAAAATTCTGATTTGAATCGGAGCAGGTAGTAAGACGAAATTCGTTATTTATTCTCTGAAGAAGTCGCTTACATTGAGTTACGAAACGCCGGAAAATCTAATTTTTTCACTCATTGGGATATTACAATTTTTATTTTTATTTAAAACCACTGGATGTTGACTGAGTCGTCTATAGGTTAGGTGTCACCGAGATAACTAAAGGTCCTGAGCTCGTGAGTACGCTCTGTCGAGGGGTTACACAATAGGAGAAAGTAACTGTTGAACGCCTCCTCATTTTTAGTGGTTATCCAACTGAAATCAATCTATGAAGTAAACTATGAAATTCAACAATCTCTACAAAACCCTACAGTAACTATAATAGTTAGTTTGATTAATGATAAAGTAATAAATCAAAACTTACATCGTCTGGACAATCTAAAACAATGACATTTTTTAATATCGTATGAGGGCCTAAATCTTTTTCCCAACACAAACGATTTTCATCATTACGTGGAAAACCATCCACAAGAAAATTTGTACAATTAGCATTTTCAGAATTTTTTCGCATTGCCTATAAATAGAAATATTAAATGGTGTATCCAAAAAAAAATAATAAAATAACGAATATCACCTTCAAATTAAACTAACCTCCACTGATAAATGGTTCAGTGATTAAGGCATTGAACAATGAGTTCCTAAGTTGGACGTTTGAACCCCGGTCCAACTCATTCCGTTTTAAAAGCAAGTAAGTAGTATCGTTAGCCTTTACATTTAGAGTGTGGTTCTAAGTCCAGTACACAAGTCTGTACGTGGATGATGAGTCAGTAAATAAATTTTGTACAAATCAACAACTACACTAACCTCACACAACAAAACAAAACTTATGATTAAAAACACAACGTATCAACTCATGATTAAACCAAACAATCTGATTTTTTACCAATATACAAACATTTAACGAATGCAACAATCACTCGTACACGACATTATAAGCACAAATGGATGGTGACTAAAAGCAGAATTCAGGATTTATGTTTTAGACATAAACAACATGTTTCAAGAAAAAATAAATTGGCAGACTGAAAACTATAAGATAATTCCAAACTCAAGATCTAAGGAATTATAAAGAATCGATGTATCTGAACCGCCTCTTGAACTATGTTACTCAACACCTCTAAAAATTGCTTACAATAATTCAGATGATCACAACCAAGTAGTCTGAATCTATCAACAAAGTTCAATTCAACAGTCACACGTTTTGGTATGGCCGCGATTAACTCTACAAAATATATCAGGCGAAAAATCCACATTCGACAATCTATTTTTTGGAACCGGAGCATTATCAGAAAAGTAAGTGGTATATATAATTAATTTGATCTTACGATGTAAAATATCTACACACGCTAATTAAATTGTCAGTCTAAAATAATCAAAATGTACACGAAATAACCACCAAAAATAAAACTTGAACCAACTTGATATAATAAGCCACAGGTAATTTCAGCCGGTACGATTGTCCCATTTTTCATGTGTTCTTGTATTTCACTAGCAAATTCAGAACCTGGTGAATCGCGAGCTTGTCGAAGTAATTCACCAGCAGATAAATGTACAAATCCATATTCCTGATAAAAGGTAGATAGAAAACCGATTTTAAAAAAGTAGTATGGAAGCAAAATATTACAAAATCATACTATTTGTAAATAAAAAATCCAAATAGTAGGTCAACCATCAATACCAAATCTCCGTTTAGATGATAAAAAATTAACTAATGATCTGAGTGACATACATATAGATATGTTGACTTCTTAGTTAGGATCTAAACGATTATCTTAGTCAAAGGTTGGTAATCGTAAATGATATGAATATAATAAATCGATTGATGAGGTATTGGATCTTTAACTACCGAAATGATTAGGATACGTGATACGTATCCCCACCCACCGACTAATTCGACAAGCAGTGTCTGCTAACGCAGTAAGTCGGGAGAAAGGTGTGGTCAAACCAAAACGTGGTATCAATTCATGGAGACATTGGCTAGTGGACTGGGCCATGTAATTATGTAGTTTGTAGTCAGCGCCGTACAAAAAGTAAATTTAAACAAACTAGGTTTACTGACCTTCACAATTTGCTGGCATACTGTACCTTTCCCAGCACCCGGTCCACCCAAAACAAAACAAATATTAAACTTCATATCCCGCCAACTGATGGTATTTGATTTAATGAAAACTGATCTTGCAACACAGAGTGACCAGATGATTCTAAAACAAAATTAAACCAAATTCCAAGAAAATAAACATTGTACTTCTTAAGATTATTGGATCGTTGAGAACATTGATATTTGGACACGACATGTTGCATAAGTTTATACATATTCATACACTTCTTTTTTGCAACTTTCCCAATAAAAAAATAGAACCTTTAAGATTTAAATGGGGCGGGATGTACATAAATATGTTCATAACGAGAAATACCACTGAAAATACCTCACAATTGCCTACATAAATATACTCGTGATAACTGATAACTAAAAATGTGGTGGTCGCAATTGTGAAAAGTTTCTTTCACAATTAGATCAGAGCATAACCATAAAGCAGAATCAGAAAAAAGCGAAGCTACATGATACTATTTCTTCAAAAGTTGTAGCAGGAAGATGTTTTTCAAGCAATTAAGTTCATGACGGTACTAATGAATATTGTCTGATAAGCATAGATAACCGTTAGATGATTGGAAGACTAATAATTATGCGCGTAAGTGTACTCAATTTGTCCTAGGACTTAATATTTAACCTGTTCACCATGATTTTAAGCTATGATGAAGAAAATGAACATTAGACTTAAGTACAGAGATTTTGTATACAACACTTAAATTAATCGAGAAAACAACATTGAACATTAAAAAATGATATAAACTTACAGTTACTAATATGACATGAACACAAGTCCATAAGAACCTGAAATCTAAATTGCCCTACTATATGAGATTTAACGTGTTTATTAATGCATGACTTAGGTTTATGAGAGTTGAGTGATCCACACACCCAAAATATCATAGTTCATATATATGATGAAAATTCATCAGAAAACCAATAAAACTGAAAATTTCTAAAAGGAAATGATGAAAGGATTCTAATCTAAATGGAGTCATATTTTACGAACCAGGTGGTTTAAATGATGAATTTATTGCCTGTTTACATACTATGAACACAAACTTATGAAATCTGAAAGCGCAATATTATTATGACCAACTTGAAGGAGTCAGAAAAATCTAACCTCGAAACTAGTACAACTTAATTTACAAAGATTACTATCCAAAACGTTTTGCGGAGTAATACTTCAAGGGTATATACTAAATAATTAGGATAAGCGAGAGATGATAATACTACTCCTCAACTACATAGACTCCTTAAGATGATTCTATGGTTGAAGGAGCAAATAAAACTACTGTCAGTTAGTGCATGGAAGCAGAATAAAACTGACATTTGTGTGACATTGAAGTTGTCATTGGGAGAAAGGATAATTGGATGGCTGTGGCTGGACCAGTGACCTGGGACTGGATGATCGATCTCACGTACTTTGAGTAAAGGGTTGTCTTACAACCAATTCAACACTTCAGACCAAACAATTTTACTGGTTCTGACGGTATAAACTCTTAAACAAAAGGATTTCTAGGTGATATGACCCCACATCGCTGACATTGCTACTCAAAATGTAACTAGGCCAGTTTAGACTAGGACTAATCTTACTAGTTTAGTCATTAAACTGATGGAGATGATTTATCCTGCTGTTAAGCATTGTATGAAGGGGGCGAATTTTTGCCAGAGAAAAACATTTTCATTTTAGTAGATTGTATATTCATAACTAACCTTAGTGGGAAAGAAGATTAAGCCCAACCTAAAGATAAAAATACTGAGGTAAGCGTATTAACTACTGACCTCAATAACGGTTTATCATACGGGACTTAGGTAGAAGAAAGTTAAACAAACAATTATACAGTCGAAGAATGGGTTAGACTTCGTGACAGGAGGTAAGGAATGAGAGCTAGCGACACTTCATCCTCATGTGATCTGTAGATGAAAATTCTGGGCCCGCCCCTTATTTTCATTTATGTAAATGATCTACCTTGAGTGGTATAGCCATGTATCCCGCTGTTTGAAGACGAACTTAAGGTATGGAGAAATACACACAATATAAATTTAGAGGTAAAATTGCGGGAAGATTAAAATTTAATGATTGACTAGAATCGATAGCCGTAGGTAGACTCTAGAAAACGTCATAAAGAAAATAAAGTGTGGCAATTCACATTTCTACGCATAGCATGGAACAGATATCAACTATAAGTAGTCATAGTAAGTAATGACCTCAGAACTACGATCAGTAGACATGTTTAACACTCTGCGATGCATTTTAAGACGATTACATTGATCTTCTAAATATTAGATGGTAATAAAAGCAGAAGATAGAAGCAATAAACGACAAGAGTCGGACTTTAAATTCTACACCTCACATACCTAGTTCAGATTACTAGAATCATCTGGATTCTCTATAAGGTACACTAATAATATCATAGTGACAACTTGAAGCGAATTTAAGAGTTACTTAGGGATTAAATAACCAGAAATCAGCAACCGGAATGCAACTTTTTAGTAAGCGCACTAAAATATAGATAAATGAGATTAGAGGTGATTATAATCACCTATAGGACTTTGAAAAACATCAGGAAACTTATAAAAGCTAAATACCAGTTATTTAGGATGGAAATTATCGCTCTGCTTTCAGGATAGATCTTACAAATTAGTCCAACATCTTTTAATGACTAGCTACTAACCCTCAAACTCTCAAACGCTGACTCTCGATCGAAACACTCCTAACTCAAGTATACTAACCCCAGTATTTCAGTACATAAGGAAACCACCATTCAATCTTTTCGACATACGAAATATAAGGAAAACCAGTAGATGGCGACAATTGCCGCTCCAGCTTAAGCTATACAAAACAGCGCTCTAAATCAGTGCATTGACCTGTTTAATTTTGATTAAGCACCAAAGTCCGACGTTGTAATGTGAGTAAACCGAGAGTTCTTAAGACGTCTTACGTGAAGAAGCAAGAACAATAAGCAAACAAGCTAAACCAACACCACCTGGTGACCTTGAGTGATGACCAAGTATCCAAACCCCTTAAATATTGTGCTCAAAATATGTCAAAACGCGCAACTGACCAATGACTCAAATATTTATTGTAAGGCAAAATAAAAAGATTGCTTAATTTTAGGTTCATTACAAGTTCAAGCATCATTTCCGGAATTAAAAAGGACAGTGGTATTTTTCCTCGTTGAGTAAACTTTATTGTTTTGATCGTTTATTACGTATCAAGACTACTGTTTTCACTTTAATCGAATTTATTTCAGTTGGAGCATTCGACTAGAGTATCTTTACGTTTTCTTAATTAGTTTATCATCGTACTCTTGAGTACCTTATTTTCTACTGCATCTGTTAGTACTTTTGGTCATAACAATCTACAATTTTCCACTGTTTTGGTCATAGATCGTTTTTTGTCTCTGAGCATTATTGCATCTCGCTCTTTTTTTTAAAAAGACCCCTTTTTAGAAACCGAACAGTGCAAAAAAGGCAGTTGCTAACTTTCAGGTTTTCGTTATCCCATTGAAAGCGGCATGCAGTGCGATGAGTGCAAAGGCTGGTACTCTAGTGGCATTGGACCATAACCACACAATCCTCAAAGCTGAATACGAGATTACTCGGAAAATAGATATTCAATATTTAACGTGGAGAAACACCTAACGACGGAGAAGGCGAACAATCAATTGAATGGGCTGGAGTTGATCGGATGGCATGGCTCGACCATGCGTGGTCCATCTGAATGTTACCTTATATCTTCTATTCATATTAGATATATTGTTCCTTCTCTAGCCTAACCTTGTTCTACATCATGTATTGGTAATTGAAACGATACAGTGAGTTGGTGTAGTCGGTGGTGTGACTTCCACGTAAGATCTTATAGATTAGGCAGTTATATCATGACAAATCTACAATTTTAGGATTAGGTCTATTATTAGAGCAGTACTAATATCATAGTAGACCATAATTCTACATTGGTGAGCCCAACTAAAGAAACGCAACCTATTATTGTTAATCCTTATATCCACCTTAACCTTCTCAATCGATTTTTATTTGTGTAAACCCAGTATTCTAATAGTTCTCTGATTAATGCTCACATGTATTATCGTAATGTTATATTGATTAGTTCTCATGACATACTAGCTCAATCGATAATAAAACTGGTCGTCAATATTAACTTATTAGCTTTGATGGTTTGTTAACAAGCTTTAATAGCATTTACATGCTTAGGCGACATAGACTTGTTTAAGCGTCAAGCTCTAGCAAATATGGCCTGTAAATAGCATAAATATACATTGACTAACAATGCAATCAATGACTAAATAGTTATCGGGATCTAATTCTCAGTGTTCCTTCACTTAACACCTCATCCTGTTTTAAACTATGCACTATCCTGTAATATCTTTTCTTCCGACCACTGTCTGCCTAATTTCAAATTTTTGAGTTCCATTGCCAAACAACAAGGATGACACTTCTGTAAAAACATACGGTGAGTTTCAGCCATAAGTTTTCTGCTATCATAAGGTCATTTTAGATGGCTCGTTCAATGGTGACCACACAATTATCTGGATTCATTCGATTGTTCTGATCCTCACTAATGGCGTTATATATGTCGTCCACTGAATAATCTAATTTTCAAAAATAACCCAGGCGAGTTCAACTATTTTACTTAATGATTTTTTTACTTAACATGTATATGTTTTCCGGTTGCTTTTGCTATATATTTGTGTCATTAGGCTAAATGCAGTAACTTCTTATGGAATGTTTATAACGCATCATATTCCTGCCTAAAGTTTCACAAGCAGTCTTAACTTTAAAATTATTTTCTGGTCATGTTCACTATTTTTAAGTTGTCATATACGTCAACAACCTGCATGTTAACCTGACCTAGGTCTATTATTAGAGCAGTACTAATATCATAGTAGACCATAATTCTACAGTAGCACAAAGTTTGCACGAATTTAACGCCTGCGGCTTTCAAAAGGTTCAGTAAAAAGGGCTTTGCATGGCTTTTTCAACGATGCTGTTCGGATGGAAACAGCTTGTTATCCGAGACCATCTCACTGCTAGATGCTGCGTAAAAGTGTTTTAGTAAGCGTAGTCAGGACACATCCAACAGCACTCGCTTTGTCGACACTCAAATTTATATGAAGCATACTCAGGTGAGTTGGAAAATAGGTGACTCACACCGATCAAAGGAAAAACATAGTCTCCAAAGAGGTCCGTCCTAAACAAAAACTCAAGAAAAGAATGTTCTTCTGTCCCCCGTCTTCCAAACGGCGTCTAGCAGGAAACGCCTAGAAGCCGCAATCGTAAGGCTCGTTCGGTTCCTAGCGAGAAACATAACCTAACCTCCCAGGTCATCGACAACCCTCTTGAATTCAAAAGTAGGCTTGACTCAACTGTCCTTGCTTCTCCTGGCGCCTTTTACGAGTGGGTACAGGTTGTAAAGAGGAACCAACGTAGTGATATAAAAGGGAATCCTGCCACCGTAAAATTAGTCGAAAAATTGAAGGCTGACAGATCAGTTATTTTTCATAGAATCAAGGAGAGCGATAGCTCTGAATCAAAAGCTCGTTTCGAGCATAACATTGTACTGATTAAACAGATGCTTGATCAAATCATGCCTTGCTAAAGGTGTACAGACTAGGGAGTCTAGAGAACTTGAAAGCAAATCAGTCCAGACTGCTCAAAGTAGTATTCAAATCTTCGAACGAACGCTACCTAATTTTACAGAATAGACATAAATTAAAGGGTTCAGAAGTTTTTATCTATTGGGACTTACCATTGTCAGACCGCGTAAAAAGACGGGAAGCCGACAAAGAACTACAACTTAGGTTAGACGCTGGCGAAAAGAACCTGAAAATTGTAAATTTTCGGGTTATAAGGCTTCGACAGAGAATGATGCCGAAGCCACTCTGGGTGAAACACGAAGCCACTTAAATAGGCTTCGGATCGGTTACACTAATGCCCGAAGCTTAATCAATAAGCGATCGTGACTAGGTGTACAGATTGACTCTACAAAGCTAGACATAATCACATTCACAGAAACCTGGCTGACACAGTCTACAGATAGTATGGAACTTGATTTCGAGGGTTTTACGTCAGTAAGGGCCGACAGAATACAGAAGCGTAAAGGAGGGGGAGTAGCACCATTAGGAATGCTATCCCACTCACCATTATCGACAGTGTTTCCCATGAAAGTGGGATGTGTGAATTAGTTAGTTGCCGCTTTAAATGCAAGGGACAAGAGCTGCTGATTGGTTTGATCTATCGCAGTCCAAGCTGTGAGGTAAATGAAGTTCTGCCAAGCAGTCTCAATACTTGGTCACAAAGTGGTCGATGTCTAATCCTAGGGGACTTTAATGCACCTTTGGAAGACTTGAAAAATCTGCGAACTAAATCGTCGGAGAATTCTTTCGAGCAGGAACTAGTTGATGCGGTTATCACATGTGCGCTAGTGCAACATGTGAAAGAAGCGACTAGGTACGACCCGGACACTGTCTCATCCATACTACATCTTATATTGACTCACTATGAGGAGGACGTTGTGAACCTCAGTTACATGCCACCCCTAGGTAAAAGTGATCACGCAGTTTTAACATTCGGATCCCATATAACTGTCAATCACGAGCACGCGTCAACTCAATCCAGACCTAACGTCTGGAAAGAAAAAATACCAGATATCACGCACTCAGCATAGTTAGTAGATTGGACAATAGACCCAGAGTCCTCAGTTGAAACGGCCTGGGACGTATTTCGAAATTCATACTTAAAAGTTATCATACCCCACATCTCTTGGACTATACCAAGGGGGCCGAGAAACTCCCCACCATGGTTCATTAGGGAGACCCGCATCCTTCTCCGTAAGAGAAGAAAAATGTGGGATATATTTAGGTTACTGGGGACCGATGAGACAAAATCTCAGTATCGAAAAGCTCGGAATACCTGTGCCTCGACCACCCGTAAGTCTAGAAAGTTTTACGAAGGAAAACTTGTTAAGGAATCCATAGAATGTCCTAAACGCTTGTATTCCTACATAAATCAAAGGACAGAGAGAAGAGGAAATATTCCTGCTCTATGGGGACACAGTACTGCCGTATCATTATTGGAGGACGACTTTGGTAAGGCTCAGGTGTTCTCGAACTACTTTAGCAACGTGTGTACCATAAAAGCGCCCTTCTCGTCAGCGTATACAGATCCCCCCATACATACACTGGATAGCGTGACCATTAAAGAACTCGACGTCTTTGGTCTACAAAATAAGCTTGACACAGGTAAATCCACGGGGCCCGATGAATTACATCCTAGGCTACTGAAGGAATCATCTAACTTCGTTGCGAACCCTTTAAGTATATGCTTTAACCTATTCGTAATGCAAAGTCGTTTACCCAAAGACTGGAAAAACGCCTAAGTAAGTCCTGTCTTCAAAACAGGTACGAAACACAAACCTGAGAATTACCGCCCCGTTAGCCTAACTAGTGTGGTTGTTAAAATCTTAGAAAAGATTATTCGGAAGGAGCTGTTCAAGTATCTTGATAAAAACCGGATCCTTTCGGAGAAGCAGCACGGTTTCAGAATAGGTTACTCTTGTCTCACTAACTTATTAGTGGCTCGTGAAAGCTGGTGCTCTATTAAGGACCAAAAGTTACCTGTAGACGTTGCCTTCATTGATTTCAGCAAAGCTTTTAACAAAGTTCCGCACAACCGGCTGTTATATAAGTTAAGAAATGTCGGAATCGGAGGCAATCTATTGATGTGGTTAAAAGACTTCCTAGTTGGGCACCAATAAAGAGTACGGCTGAACTCAAAGTTATCTAGCTGGTAAACTGCGCTTATTGGAGTGCCCCAGGGTACAGTTTTGGGGCCAGTGCTATTCATCTTGTATGTAAATGACCTTCCTCGTCTCCTATCATCATCGGTCTTGCTATATGCTGACGATGTCAATATATGGAGAACGATACGATGTAATGGTGATAGCTTGGAACTCCAAAATGACCTGAAGAAATTATCTGAATGGTCTCATACCTGGCAGTTGCCGACAAATACTTCCAAGTGTGTTGTGATGCATATCGGTCATCAAGGTACAGATACATACACGATGAATAACGCCGAGCTATCTGTCGCTCAGACATATAATGGCTTAGGAGTTATCGT